AGATGTTGCAAAACTCACACATGTGATGATGAAGGAGCTCATTGCACATGAGACATGATATTGAGTCATGTGATCAAGGTGGAGAAGATCAAGACATGACTTGGCTTGATGGACCGGTTGCAAGCGTGAAGGACAAGTCGGAGGCTTTAGAGCGATGGACCGCGTGGCGGTGAAGCTTGAGCAAGACTTGGCACCGATGGACGAAGGCAACGGTGAAAAGCAAGTGAAGTCAAGATCGATGAACCAATATGATGATATGAAGTGGATCATATCATTGTTGATCGTGTTGGTGCATGTGTTGCATCGACATTGGAGGAGTTGGAATGGAATGAGCAAGGTAAAGGTATAACCTAGGGTATTTCATTTCACCGGTCATAGGTGTGTAGAGAAGTTGATGATCGGGTTTAGGATAGATGGCCGTACTATCAAGAGAGGTAAACTTGTTTGCATATCGGTCATCTAGTGCCACTCAAGTGATCTAACTTTTTATCGTCGCTAGGATCGAGTGGCGTGGTAAGTTGAGTGGCTAATCCTTTGGAAAATGATTGTGAAAATGCTAACACACATATGCATGGTGGTGTACACTTGGTGGTGTTGGCATATTTACATAGGAGAAGAAGTTAGAGTTGATGTGGAACAACTCGACAAAGAAACGGAGGCGAATGGAGGTCACTGTGAGTGACCGGACGCTGGCCTCGATAGGACTGGCGCGTTCGGTCAGTGGTAGCAGAGAGCGCGCAAGCGTTGGTCTTCGACTGGATGCTGGCATTGAAAGTGACCAGACGCTGGCAGGGCGCGTCCGGTCAGGCTGACGTACGGTGACGTAGGCGGCGCTGGAGTTGGCGCGTGGGCGCAGAACTGATCAAACGCTGGCTTGCGTCCGGTCACATGCGAGCGGACACGTCCGATCGCAAAACAAGGCTCGAGGAGCTCTATGGAAATGACCGGACTCTGGCTGGTCTACGTCCGGTCGTGCAGCAGCAGACGTGTCCGGTCGCAAAATAGAGGCTCGGGGAGCTCTCTGGAAATGACCGGACTCGACAGTGGTGCGTCTGGTCTTAGCACTATGCTGCGTCCGGTCGTAACTTAACCGTTGAGATCGGGCGCTCAGTATTTGAAGCCGGGGATGACGTGGTAGCCATTCGTTGACCGGACGCTGGCAGGGTGCGTTCGGTCATCCTGAAAAACGCCTAGTGAAGGGGTAACGACTATTTTAGCCCGTGGGACTATAAATAGAAGGTGATCTCGGCCATGGTTGGTGTGGAGCACCTCGGGGGACTTTGTGTCCATGCTTGAGAGTGCTTAGGTGCCCTCCATCTCATGTATGCTTGATAGTGTTCATTCGCTTGTGTGAGTGAGCGATTCTAGTGCGATTACATCGTGAGGTTGCATTGAGTGGCACTAGGTGGTCGTCTTGCAAGCCGGTGGTGCTTGTTACTCTTGGAGGTTGCCACCTCCTAGACGGCTTGGTGGTGGTCTCCGTTGAAGCCCGCAAGAAGCTTGTGCGGTGCTTCGGAGAAGAACTTTGTGAGGGGCATTGTGCTCGCCCCGTGGGAGCCGCGAAGAGCAACTCTAATAAAGTGAGACGCGAAGGGCGACAAGTGGTCTGGCCGGGTCAAGTGCTAGAGCTTGTGGTAAGCACTCAACGTGGGAGAGTGTGACTTGCGGGTCACCACTAGCAAGAGGACCGACGACAACCTTGGAGCTTGTCTCAACAGGGACTAGAGTGTTGGCAAGCACGTGAACCTCAGGAAAAAATCATTGTGTCATCCCTGTATTCCTGTTGGTTTGCATCCTTGTTACACAAGCTTGTAATTACTTTCATATACATTGTGCTTGTGTAGTTGCTTTTGTAATTAGTTAGCTTGTGTAGCTTGCTAGTTACTTTCTAGCTTGTGTAGCATAGAAGTAGCTCCCATGCGTGGCTAATTTGGTTTGTGCAACCTTGTTAGTCACATTGCTTAGTTTGTGTAGCTAAGTATTTGCGCTATCTAATTTAGCATTGGTTGCCTTGTTATTGAGCATTGCTAGTGAGCTTAGGTGGCTTTGTGCTTTTGCTTACTAGCATGAGTAAGAGCTCCCTCATTGCTTGAAGTACTAGTGGCATAGGTTTGTGTGACCTTGCTTCTAGATTTGGTTAGATGAGCTCTAGCTAGCCCGGTACCTTTGTTGCTTAATTAGGAACTTTATAAGGTGCTTGTGAACTTCAATAGAGGGGTGTAGTCTTGGCTAGACCGATAGTTTTAATTTCGTACTTGTTTCGAATAGCCGACGCGATTAAATTTAGAAACAACTATTCACCCCCCTCTGGTCGCCATCTCGACCATACAGAGAGGTAGAAAAGGATGCCTCCATGAGGGGAACGACGTCCGCAGACGTCGTCGTGCATGCTTTCACTCCGACCTCATGCATCCTCCACTCTGCTGTTGCTAGATACCCAACCCTACCAGGGAGGTAGGGTGCGGCGAGGGGTCAGCAGCAGCCTCGCCTGGCCACCGCCCCTAGGAACGTCGGCCAGGAGAAGTGCTGGGAGAAGGCCGATGAAGAGTCCACCCCCGCTGGATCCGACAAAGCCGGCCAGCTCCGCCACGAAAGACAGCTCGAACAGGTGGAAGGCGGATGGTGGGGAGAAGAGGGTTAGGATCACAAGAAGCCTCAATCGCCTAGCCCACCATCGTCCCAACCCCTGCTGAGAGCCCCCCCCCCCGCATCAGTCCATGCCGCGCTAGGCCTTGAGCAGCCCCCGCACTGAACTGTAGTCGTCAGCAGCCGTGTCGCCGAACCCGGCCGCCGGAGGAATCCTAGTAACCAGATCTAGGCAGCCGCTGCTGTGCCCAAACCGATGCCACATCTAGGCCTACGTCGCTGCTATAGCCACGCCACCACAGATCCAGGCAGGAGGCACCGGATCCGCACAATACACGGCCCTCGGACGCCAGCGCCACCGTGTCACCGCAGCCTGGCCACCGGTCATGCCACCGCTGCACGCAGCATGCGCCGCCAGCCACGTTACCTCTACGCGTCCCTAGAGACGCCACCACGAACTCTTGGAAGAGCCGGATCTGGCTGAGGTTTGTAGATCTGCTCGCCTAAGATGCGCTTGAGGTTGCCTGGACCACCACCTGCGTGGGAGAAACCCGCCGCCTTCCTCGCGTTCACGTAGATCTCCGGCGAGCCGCTCAAGCGGCGACGAGGTAGGGGAGGGAGGAGATGGCGGTGGCGCTAGGGTTTGTGGTCCACCCAAGCCACCCCAGGTGGAGCGACGTGGGGGAGGGAGAGTCTACGATAAAACTAAAGTTTGATGCATCAAACTTAGCTCATGTTCCACATCACATTCCATATGTTCTATTTAGATCTCGATTTGGACTTCCATAGTTACAAGGAGATCCAACTGGTTGGTCCATAAACCACATGTACTGATGTATATAAGGGGATGCAAGTGGGTTTGTCCATACCCATAAATAGTCTGAGTGAGTTCAATACACGCCACTAACTGGCTCACGAACAAATTATACATCCCTAAATGGGTTCATGGACCGACGCGCCCATATGAACTATATTTCCAAGTTCCAGCAACTTCCCATACAAGAATCGAATGGACTATGCATAACAAAGGCGCAACAATTCTAGGCAATAACTTCTCTACAAACATTGAATAAAAATAAGGGAAGAGAAACATCAATACCAGGACACGGGATGAAAGGCAGGGGTGACGACAATCCTGCTACCTTCCTTTGTCGTAACCTCTCTGTCTCTCTCGTCGTCGATTCGAGCGAGCGAGAGGTGAGGAGGGTACGTGGAGTGAATAGAGTGCCTTGGCTCCTGTTTCGATAGGTATTTATGAGCAAGGCTTCCTTCCTTTTGATCCATGTAGCGTCACGTTGTTTACGTGGTTTGTTGGGTAATTCAATACTAGGATGAACACTATGAATCGTCTATTTTAGGAAGGCATTTACTGCCCTTATAGTATTATTATCGTAAACAATTGATGCTCCCTTGATTAATCTTATTAAGCACTAATATTGAATTTAATCATATTAGACTCCTGTTTTTTAATTTAATTGTATTAATCTTGTCTATTGAATTTAGTCATTTTATTCCATAAAAGTAAAATAACTTAATAATTGTATTAAGCTCACTAACTTAACTCTTTTATTTTCTTAAGACCCCAACAAACTAAGCTCTTTTGAATTTGTTGTTCCATCATTTCCTTATTTCAGGAAAAGAGAGTCTTATGCATATTATTACTCCAAAAGGAAGTTTCATCCATTTGCTCGACACAAAGAGGCGCTTCGAGCTGGCCGTACAAGGTACAGTAGCATTTTTATTCTCTCCAATGAGGTGCGTGAATGAATTCATACACCGCGCCCAAACCAAATCCTCCAGCGGGTGAAAGCCAAAAGGTCCCTCCAATTCTCCCGAGTCCAAACCCAAACTGAGCCGCGAGCGGGAAACCACGTGCTGTCCGAAACACAAACGGTCCGAAAACCATCCTTCACTGACAACCTGGTCCCACCGAACGGTCCAAAAACCGGTCCCACCCGGAGAGCACGCGGGCCGCGGGCGCAACCAGCGCCGCACACTTCGCCCCCTTCACGCCTTCACCAACCGCCCCCAATCACTGACAACCAGGCCCAAAGAGAGAACACGGCCCCGCGCCCGTCACTGCCAAGCGGGCCCCACTGTTGTCCCCGCGCCACTGAGAAAAATCCGAGCAGGGGCAAATGATATGAGCGGCTCGCCGCGCGGCGCAAGACCCCCCTCTTCCTCGGGAACATTTCAAATCCCCGCCGCCTCTTCCGCTCCCCTGCTCGGCGCTCCCCGAAAAAATTCGCACATCCCAGATTCCACGGGCGCGCGCGCTCCGATTCGCGCCCCCCGTCTTCTTCCCTTCCCTGCCCGATCGCTCATAGCCTTAGCGCAGCCACCCCGCGGCTAGGGCTGGGACTGTGACTCGAGGCCTAGGGTTTGGAGGGTTTGGTTGGAAGTTTCGGAACACGATGGCGGGGGAGCGGGGGGAGAGCAGCGGCGAGCGGCAGGGGACGGTGGAGCGGCGGATGCTGCGGTCGCGGTACCACGCCGTAAAGAACCTCATCAGCGGTAGGCGGCATCGCGCTCTCTCTTGTCTAGTCCGCCCGGGTTTGGTCCCGTTTTGGGGTGTGGTTTTGACCTTTGCGGGGGGTCTTGTATGTGCGCAGATGAGCGGGATGAGATGGCGAGGGCGGATTCGGACAGGTTCACGGCCATCATCCAGCAGGTGGATTGCTTGCACGAGCTCGGTAAGGATCGTCTCTCTGTTGCTTGTGAACGACTGTTTTTTTTTTTCCATTTCAGAAAGCAAGTGTGTTGAACTTTGAAGAGGCGTGAGACGATTTTTTTTTTTGCTTGGACTTGCTGCATGGTTTTCGATTTTGGAACGTTTTTGTCATTTGAGTGGTGTGCTAAGATTACTGGTTACTGTAAAATTGCTTTCTGGGGGTGCCTGAAGCAGGTTTTAAGTACACAATGGCTCCAAAATTGAAAGGAAATGCTTTCTTTGAACTTTTTTCTAATCGAGAGTAAGTTCAGTTACAGATAGCTTGCAAGTTGTGTGCTTGTATTCCTTGTTCAATACTGTCCCACTCAATCTGAATGCTTTGATAAAGTAGCTTACTTGGGACCAAGATTGGTCAGCTTAGAGCAAGTATAATAAGAGGCTGTAAGCTAGCTAAATGCTGAGGTGGAGGAGAGAGAGGAGAAGTGGGCTGTAAGCTTACAGCCGGCTTAGGCACAAAAACCAAGAAACTCTGTGAGAGAGACAAGTTGGCCATGTATTAATAGTGAAGAGCTAACTACTATATATGTGGGCTGAGAGAAGGCTGCAAAGAACTTTACAGACGGCAGGTTGGATGTATTATTAGCCTTGCTCTTACAGATAGTTTCACTCTATACCTTCAAAACCATGTTCCCCAATCACGAATTGCTATTGATATTCACACTGGATTTGAAATGTTTGGATATTCTGAACTCATTAGTTTGTTACCTTGATGGAGGTATTGCATTATTCCTATTCATATCTCAGTCTACTATATGACATTTTGTTTCAAATTCTTAATTGAATGTCAGGATATAGTAATAACAGAGAACTGTTGACTAGACTCCATAAGTGTGCTTATACAGTTTGACGCCTCACTTATATGTGTAATCTAGCATAAATATATTTTACATCAACATATCTTATTGTTTTAGATAGATTTCTAAAAGACAAGTAACATGGACACACATATGTATAGTATATGGACCATGCAGTTTGTATTAGTTGTTCTTCCATGCTAATTGGCGCATCTTGATGTATTTTCCTGCTCAACACTTTGGTTTATTCCTTGCATGATTGCATTTTGTGGCAAAAATGGGTGTATCATTTGATTGTAACACAGCATATTAGGGACCACTGTTGTATGCTAACGTGGCTATTGATTGTGGGAGCAAATGCTGTATTTTGCTATGCTTTGCTTGTTGACTATGCAAAAACTAATCCATATAAGAACACAAAATAAGAGTGCCCTTCCACATTGCAGTGCAGAGGCCTAGGGAGCAAATAGCGGATGCAGAAGCTCTGCTTGGCATTGCAAGCACTTTGGTAACTTCGGTGAGGTCCCAGTCAAGTGAAGGAATCACCCCTTCTGATTTCATAACAGCTTTACTCAAGAAGTTTGGGCAGCAAGGGACCCCTGATGATGAGTCTGTCTCGTTGCGATGGGGTGATCTCGGGCATTCTATTTCACATATCTTCAGGCCTATGCCTGGATGCTGTACCATGTAATGAAGCCCCTCTCTTTAAACCAACACTTAACATTGCATGCATGGACACCCCTGCCCACCCCCTCTGCTACCAAATGAGTTAAACTGTGCATGATGTTAATATTTTCAGGCTTGGTCCTATGGATACTGAAGTAAAGCAACGGAAAGTTGCGGCTGTTGGTAGAAAACGGACTGCACGGCCAACAGAAAATACTTGTCCTGAAGAGGTAGCCACATGCTTATCATGATGTAAATCATACATTCATACAGTATAAGTTAAGTGAAATCATGATTTCCTTTAGGTCTTCCTTTTGCCTTTGATTTCAATGCATTGTACTCATGATTGGTGTTCTGCTTTGTAATTCTTTAAAGGTAGTACCATTCATATTTTCAGTTCTTCCTTCATATGCATTTGAATTTCCTATAACATTGTTATTATCTTTAAGTCACTACACTTGCTGTTCACAGCTAACTTCCAACCATATGACATTTTTCAAAATGCAGCTTGCTGATTCTTCAGAGGAAGTAAAGTCAGACACTGACAGGAATGTCTTGGTTATTTTTGATGTCCTGAGGCGAAAGAAGAGTACAAAGCTTGAAAACCTTGTTTTGAATAGGCTTTCATTTGCCCAAACAGTTGAAAATATTTTTGCACTGTCTTTCTTAGTGAAAGATGGTAGGGTGGAAATAAATATAGATAACAACGGGCATCATATAGTACGTAAGTACTTTATTCACAATTGCTTTTGAGCTTAAGTTATATTATGCATTTATGCTGTGACTGTTTCTAACACAATATTATTGATCTTGAACAGGTCCAAGGAATGCACCTGCTGCTAGTGCCATAGCCTCAGGAGAAGTCTCCTACAGTCATTTTGTTTTTAGATTTGATTTCAAAGACTGGAAGGTCTAGTTTCTGATTATTAAATTTGTATTTATCAGCAAAGCTTTATATACTTAATCTGGATATTCCTTATTCAGCCTCATGCGTGGAGTTGGTCTGTGAGGAAAGTTGTAGGGGATGCAACTGAAAACAGAGCTTAACATATTCAACTGCTCTCCCATTTGAGTACCAATGATTTAGAGTTGTTATTAAGAGGCTAGCTATGGTACTAGGAAAACATCATAGCCATCTGTTCTGCTTACCATGTGTTAACCATTTAAGCATGCTTCCATTGCAAGAGGAATTGAAGGAACTATAAAAGCGAATAGGATTGCAATTCCTATGTACATGATGTGGGAGTATGTTATTTATTCTTATTTGTATGTATTAACTTCACATAATCTGATTTTTCCTCTATTTATCCAACCACAGTTTATGAAAGAAGCTGTCACGGAAGGGGAAGAGTTGTTGCCACACAGGACTTCCCAGAGCGCTCTTTGCAATGAAGAGAATGATCAACCAAATACGGAGGCACGTGCACAAGTAACGCCTATCAGGAAACTCTCCCGGAACAGAGGCATGATCTTGCAGGATCATGTAGTTGAGGAAACTCCTGAGGAGAACCAAACATCTAAGCACAGGCGCCTTTTCAGAGATCAAGATTGACCTAGCAATTGCTTGGCATGAGTAGGGCAGGCAGCCTGCCAGTATGTAAAAAATTGCCTTAGCTTGAGTAACTTATCTTACACTAGGTCTGTAGGACTGTGCATGCAGTCTTAGGCTCTTAGCACCGCTCGTGCTTCTCTGAAAGTAGGGAATGTAACCAATTCCCATTGTTTGAACTTCGGCTCACATCTCAGCTACACAGTGGTCTTTTGTAGGGCTGAATAACTCGCAGCATGGCTCGTTGTGGCTCGGTCAGCTTGTTAAGAAATCATTAGTTAAAAGTTCAGTTGGCTTGGCTCGTCAACAGCTTGAGCTGGTTGTTTAGCTTGTGAGGTAGTGCAACAGCATATGGCTAGAATTCTACATAGAATTGACATTGTACATCGGTTCTTCTATACTTAGACAAGCCAACATCAATTCAATTGAGGAGTTCCATGTACACAACACGCGTCACTATTTTGATCCAGAGCTTTCTCAAACCATGTCAGTATAATAACTGCATAGTACTCCTGTGTTGCAAAATCTAGCCAACTGCTCGGCCAATTTTCAAAACCCCATACATCACGCATGGCTACAGCCTATAGCTGATACATCCTATATAAGCAAAATCTAGTCTAGAGAGGTTTTGGAATCTTCGGTACATACATTTCTATGGATATGGAGGCAGCCTGAGGCTGATTTGTGAATCCTTGATCTGCTGCGGATCCTCAACCATGGTCCATGGCCAGCAAGCTTCCTAGGCGCCATCCTTACCGACGAGGACGGTAACATCTCTTCAGTGGCTTCAGCTTCAACTCCTCCGCAGTTCAATGTGAAACCCTACCAAAGGGCTCCGCGAGAAACGACATCACAATCGAAGCTGAAACCACCCTACCGTGGCTTCTCCAGCCTATCGTGGCGTCTCCGGCTTTCGACGGCTCCTAGAGTGAAGCTGCAGTCTGGCTTCTTTTTGCCAAATAGGGCCTATGTTTAACAATTGGAACCGACCATAACAAAACAGTCACAAGCTCTGGCACACAGATACTATGCAAACCAGCAGCATCAACACTTCTCTGGTTGAACAAGTCCTAGAACCATACTACCTAAACAGATCACAGCAGAACATTCAAGACGAAATTCGGAAGACAAATTCAGTAGTTGCCCTGAAAGTCAGGAAATCAGTAGCACAGGCCTAAAGAAGTCGGCAAATCCATCATCAGAGACAAAGTTTAGAGTTACATTGACTAATGACTACGAGGTATGAAACAGGACATGGATCTCAAGCAGCAGCAGGCTTGCGCAGCTCATTGCCACCATGGGCAAAGTGACACTTGTCGCCAAACGAACACGATCCTTTTGCGAAGTTCTCACACATCTTGGTCTTGAAGTTGCTTCCTGTGCCTCCACCACGATGAGTTACGCCAGCTGGGTTCTTGCCACTGATGCTGACAATCAGCTCACTGACCATAGCACTAGCATTCCTGATCTGATCAAAGGTGCCCTCAAGCTCAATGTTTTTCAAGCTGGTGTCTGATTCATGGTCCCGGATGGCCAGCTTTGCCCCGGTGACTCGAGATATCTGTTTTGTGTGAACTCCACCCCTCCCGATGATGCCACCTGCAAGGGATGCATCAACACTGATCTTGGCTGTGGCAGAAGCGCCGAAGCTAGCTGGAGTGGCCAAGCCCGGGTTGGCCATAGGTGGAGGTGCAAAATGACCAGTGGGTCTTGGTCCCATGGGGGGTGGCATATAGCTGTCCATCAACATAGGCTTGCCAAGCTCCCTTTCACCATGTGCAAAGTGGCATTTGTCACCCCATTTGCATCCCTCTGCAGTGTTGTACTTGTTGCACAAGCGAGTCTTCACGGTGGGTGTAGGGGGCCCATCCATTGTCGTTCTTCCAGGAGGTGCAATTGTTGTGCCACCCAAGTTGGTCGTTTTTGAAACTGCCTGGTAGCCACCAGGAAAGTAATGGAGAAAATGGCAGCCCTCACCAAAGGGACAACCAGAGGTACTGCACGATGAGAATATTATCAGGATATAAGCAACTGAAGAAGCATATGAATAATGAATATAATGATTACAAATGATGACAACTAGCGACATTCTTAAATGTAAATCACTGAGCATAGTGATGTACTACTATGGACAGACATTAGACATTAGAATAATCTCAAGAAAAATCTAACATGACTTAACCACGAACATTTGCCATGCTGTGAAAATAATAGTGGGTAGATACATTTCAGATGTTGGGCTTAAGGACATTGCTACCGTGTGCTCTAGAATCTAGATCCCAATGTTGAACTTTAGCAATACCTGATGGTTAAACAAGAAAAATGTAAATACAATAAATATGGGCAGTGAACATTTATTGGAACAGCTACTGATGTAAGTAATAATTTCAAACTACAAGGTAGTAAAGTTATCCCTGCAGAACCAAATGTTAGGAAAACTTTGTAGGTGGAGAAGGATATAGTTGGCACAATTTCAAGATGGGCGTTCGATTGCAGTTCCCAAGTCATGTGCTCAAACTTCTTTTTCTCAATTTGAGCAAATGGCACTGCATCATGGCAGCAACTGATTGTTCATCTGAAGAGGGTTAAATATCCTTATTGTCTTATACTGCTGTTGCATCTTTCAAAGGTTCATGTGCATTCCAATTTTACTCCAGTATTGTTCTTAAGCTGGATTAGGAGAACCTGTAGCACAATATTTCTTAACTATTCTGCTAGCAATAAAATATTCTTACAACAAAGGCAACTAAATTTTAATTGAAATAAGCAGCTATGTAGAATGAATGTTACCAGGTGAAGTTCATTTTAAGTTGGATTATAACCTGAAAAATTTGGTGCATGGCTTCGATTTGCTTCCTACACCACTTTGAAATGACTCCGATTCTGTTACATCAAATTAATTATGTGGGCCAGGTTAATATGTTGCTAATTTACTAATCCCGGTATACAAGAATGAACATTAATGAGGCCTTGGCTACATCAGCATAGTGCATTAATTAAAACACAGTGTGGACTTTGAGCTTGTATCTGTGGCCAAATTATCGACTGAACATTAATGAGGCCTTGGCTACATCAGCATAGTGCATTAATTAAAACACAGTGTGGACTTTGAGCTTGTATCTGTGGCCAAATTATCGACTGGGCAGCAGACACAGCAAGCCAACAACGATAATAAAAAAACTCATAAACCCCTGTAATCGAAAGAGAAGACCAGCGCCCGATATGAATGATTTCAGGCTAAAATGCAACAAATAAGCCCCATGCCTAACCCGAACGATACAAGATTGCCAACATACGAAAAATTATTACGCGCCGAGTTCACTAAACTTGGGGGAACTAGGCGATTCGCGTTTCACCAATCAACAACCCCAGATCCAACCTGACCACCGCACCAGGCAGCTTCCCCCGAAATCCCCAAACCGTGACATAGCAAACAGCTCAAACCCCACTAACCCTCGAGGCGCCGAGGCGCAACACCCAACGAAAGTTGAGCCGCTAAACGAGGAAACACGTCCCGAGAGGAACGGGGTTCGCGACAAGAGCGAGTGCGGGCTCCGCTCCACTCACCTCGCGACCGCTTCCCGCCGGCGGAGACCCCTTTGGCGCCGTCGGCCTTCCCCCTCTTGCGGCCTCCGTCCATGGATGCTTCCGCTCGCGCGTCTCCGTTGGCTCGGTTAGGGTTAGCGTTGCGAACCGCCGCGGCCAGGAGCGTCTGGCCTTGCCGTTGCGGAAGGAGTGGCAGCGGTGGACGAGAAGCCAGAAGCGTGTGGTGGAGTGGAGAGGAAGCACTGAAGCGACCGATGGGCCGCGGATTAAGTGGGCTAGGCCCACCTGTCATCTCAGCCCAAAGAGCGAGCGGTTCGCGGTGCCTGCCCAGTAGTTCTTCTTGCTTTGCAAGACCGTTCCACCCGTTCCGTTCAGAATCCTAACGTCGGTGAGAGAGTTAGGGCTTGGACGGCGTCCACAGGTGGCCACACCGCAAGTACTTGGGCAGTCGTTTGGTTTCCGACCAGACTTACGGCATGCCAAACATGCTCAGCTGTTCAGTTTAAGAGCAACTCCTAGAGATAATGGAAATTTAGCTCTCTAAATTGGCTTTGTAAAATAATATAGACTCTTAAAATAGATACGGTTCGTAATAGACTCGCGAAATTAGACTCTCTATTTTTTTTAAAGTGACCACGTCATCACTAATTCAATCAATTTTGGTCGGATCCGTCGCTCTTTTTATCCTTCAAAACAACACGATAAGTGATTTGTGTTGCGTTCTTCATCACCATCGCCAGATGCCAAGACATGCATGATACGAGCAATAGAGCGGTCACCTGTGCCGCGCTTGATTGCTTTTGATTGGACACGTGAGTGAACGAATGGTGCAGCAAAAATTAATTGTCTCTGTCAGCCGAGTGGAGGTACAGAGGGAGGGAGGGGAAGAGGAGGCCACGAGCAGCCTATTCGTTTCGTTGGTTTAAGCCAAGGCTTATCAGTCAGCCAACAGTATTTTTTTCTCACAACAAATCAGTACCAGTCAGACTTATCAGCTCAGAAATCAACCAGCGAACAAACTGGAGAGCGTGAGAAATGGCCGGACAAGACGTATGGCTAGCGAAGCCCGCTGGCTTAATTTGCCGACAGGAAAAAACGGGATAGCTAGTATGGCATTTTACAAATGCTGATAGCGAGTCTCTTGTATCCTCTTTTTACTTAATTTTGCTAATGACGAGTGGGATACAATGTCTCTTGGAGTTGCTCCAGTGCTTATCTCGACAAAGCCTTGGCTCCGAAAAAGAACACCATACTTTTGGCGTCGCCAGAGTCTCGGAGTGGCAACCTGTGGAAACGAAGCAAACAGGCCCCTTATCTACCAACCACGAGGATGCCGTTCCCTTTTGCAATTTTCTTTTTGAAAAATAAATAAACAAAAGAGCTGTTGACTATTAGAGCATCTTTAAGTGTTTCCGAAACTCACTCCCAAACTTGATTTTTCAGCAACATTGGAAAAATTGCTCTCCAACAACTCTTTATCTCAACTATCAATCTTTCTACACTTGTAAAATCAATCCAATCGCATGAAAATTGCACACGTATCAATCGGCCAATATGGAGGTGGAAAGACGTAGAGAAGAACAAAGAATAGGACAAAGTTCCCAATGCAATGTATAAGAGATAAAGAAAATATAAAAGCAGTTGGAATGATTTAAATTAGCCTAGGAGTCTTATGCAAAATTGACTTCTATGTTTTATACATGATATTTTAAAAACTGTTAGAGGGACCCAAGAAATATGCTCCAACTTTTTTAGCCACTTGGAAAACTAATTGATTTACCAATTATTTTTGGGTGAATGGTATTCTTGCCCCCTTACACAGGTGTGCAATTGTGATTTTGCCCTCGTTTTTCTAACTTTGTGATTTTGCCCTTAACTGTTCACAAGTCAACGCGATTTTACCCCTGGTCAACGCGAATTTGCCCCTGTTTTTACCTTTGACCAGTGGCAAAATCGCGTTGGCTTGTGAACAGTTAAGGGCAAAATCACAAAGTTAGAAAAGCGAGGGCAAAATCACAATTGCACATCAAAATAGGGGCAAGAACACAATAGCCCCTTATAAATAAAACAAAAACATACCAGTAGGCACCAGTGCATGCCCAGATCATGGCTGCGCCACAAATTGCTGGAGGTTGTGAGATTCATGTTTCATCAGCTGGACCATCTTGAGTCCCTTCACCACCTCCACCATGGTCGGCCTCTTCGATGGCTCGTCGGCAGTGCAATCCTGAGCAATGGCAAGCACACGAACCATCTGTTCATGCCACAGACCTGAAACGGGAAGGCATGGATCAAACAACTCACCCTCCCGACCGCGTGCAATCATCCACCGCACCCAGTCGACAAGGTTCCCACCGCCTTCTTCCACCTCTTTCCCTGTAGGTGGCCGTCCAGTGAGCACCTCCAGCATGACTACGCCAAAGCTGTAGACATCTCCCCTCGCGGTAGATTCCATAATCAGCGCATATTCTGGGGGAATGTAACCAAGCGTGCCAGAGACGGTGGTGCTAACATGGGTGTCATAGGCACTGATTATCCTTGCAAGGCCAAAGTCAGAGATCCTCAGCTCCATGTTCTTATCCAATAGAATGTTGCTTGATTTCATGTCCCGATGGATGATATGGGGCACAAAGCCATGGTGGAGGAACATGAGTTCATTAGCAGAACCAAGGCAGATCCTGAGACGTTCACGCCATCCAATTGTTTCAGGTGTATTTTCATGGTTCCTCAGCCACGTCTCAAGGCTCCCATGATGCATGTATTCATAGATCAGGAAACGCTCATCACCATGAGCGCAGTAGCCAACTAGGGGAACAAGGTTATGATGCTTCACCTTTCCAATGGTCTCCATCTCAGCAAGGAATCGACGGTCACCAAGGAACTGGTAGCTACCATGAAGCCTCTTGATAGCGACCCTCTGTCCTTCAGGGAATGCTGCTTCATAGACAGTCCCAAACCCACCATGGCCTATGATGTGCACCTCGCTGAAATTATTGGTACCTTTCAGGATATCATCCATGGTAACCCTCAGCAGTCCATGCTCAAATGTAGAAAGATTGATGCTCAGAGGTTCCCTTGACTTTTTTCTTAGGAGATCTTTACTGGAGGTTGGCTCAAGCTCAATTGTAGCCTTGGATTCACTGGCAGATACAAGAGGTAATGACCTGTTTCTCAACATCATCCATCTCACAAAAACCACAAGAAGAACCACAATGAGGATGGCGCCACTAATGATCAGTGCTATTACAACTCCATGAGGTATATGAACCTCCACATGATTGGTACTGGTACTATTAGCAGCAAAAATGCCTGATGCTGCACAATCTGAGAAGCTATGCATGCCAATAATTTTACCAGAGAAATCGACAAACGTAATGTTAGATAGATTGCACATACCAGAAGGGATGGCACCACTGAAATCATTCTTTGAGACATCAAGGTAGTACAAACTGAGATTGGAGAGTGCTGCTGGCAAGCTCCCGTTGAGGCTACTGTTGTGGATATCAAGAGAAGACAAATGCGCAAAATTTGAGATAGATCCATCTAGGCTCCCTGAGAAATGGTTACTGCTTGCATTGAACAAGATCAGTTGGCTCGATGATCCTTCAAACCCAGTACAAGATGACGGGATTTTACTAGAGAGGTTGTTGTTACTGACATCCAGAAGGTTCAGGGTCTTGCTGCATAGTAGAGATTGGGGTAGGGTAGCCCCAAATGCATTACAGGACAAGTTTAGAACCACGATGTTGGGAAAGATGCGACCTATCTCAGCAGGAATATTGCCAGTGAGGTGGTTATTAGACAGAAAAAGGCCTTGCAGATTGACCAATGGTGTGGACCAAGGAAGCATAGGTCCAACCAATTCATTAAACAGCCTGTTCGCTTGGTCGTGTTTGACTTATAAGCCATGGCTAAAAGTACTGCTAGCTGATTTGGTGTGAGAGAAAAATACTATTCGTTGGCTGAAAACAAGCCAAACAAGCCCAAACGAACAGGGCGAAAAGAGAGATCAACGGTCATAAGATTCTTCAGCTCAGCAAGCTCCACAGGAATAGATTCATTCAGCAAGTTAACTTGCAGGTGTAGCTCCTCCAGAATAACACAATTCTTGATTCCTGGTGGGATACGATCAGTCAACCGGTTGTATGACAGATCAAGTAAGCCATGATATTGAACATACTCTGATTCAGGGTGAGATGGATTCGTGAATCCCCCACATATCTCAGCAGGAATGGAACCAGAGAGTTGGTTGTGAGACAAAACCAAGCCAGTGAGTGAAGTCAATTGAGATATGGATCTCGAGATGGTTCCGTTCAGATTATTAGAGCTCAGGTTTAGCTTGACTAGGTTTCTGCAGTTGAAGAGCTCTTGCGGGATGTTCCCAGATAGTCTATTCCCATCAAGACAAATTTCATTCAAATTCTTTAGAGCACCTATCGCCGGCGGGATTGGTCCTTCCAAGCAGTTACTGCTCATCCGCAACCTCTGCAAGCCGCGGAGCTCACCAATGCTCTCTGGAATACAGCCAGTGAGCTTACTATAGCTGAGATCTATCTCCAAAATTGTTGATGAATTAAACAACTTGGTAGGCAAGACTCCTGTAAAATTGTTGTAGCGCAATTGCAGAATTGTGAGCGGTAACTCAGCCAAATATTCTGGTATCTCACCATGGAAATGGTTGCCTTGCAAATTCAGTTGAGTAAGGTTCCTGCACCTTATAAATGTCTCCTTGATACTCCCTGTCAGATTGTTAAAATTCAAGTCGAGTGACTGAAGAGAGTTGGCTTGACATATGCCAGGAGGTATAGAATCATTGAACTTGTTATTTCCCAGTCTTATAGATACAACATTTCCCCAGTTTTGAATCCAATCAGCAATATGACCTGACAAATTGTTACCTTCCACCTCAAAACGGACAATAGCTTCTAAACCTGCAAGTTCTTTGGGCATACAACCAGTGAAGGCATTGAAGGACAGACGCAGGTGAGTAAGCTTCTTGCAGTTACCAAGTTCTTTTGGTATGCTGCCTATGAGCTTTGCTCTCATTGCAACCAGGACAGTCAGATTTCCCAGCTCACCAATAGATGCTGGGAGTTCCGAATTGAAGTTGTTATCTGATATATCAAATTCCTGTAGGCTTTTAAGACCACCAATTGACCAAGGGATGGTGCCTGATAAGTTGCATTTAGAGAGAATGAGTTTTCTTAGCTTCTTCAGGTTACCAATCTCCTTTGGAATGCTTCCAGTGAAATTGTTGGACCCCAGAACCAAGCTCTCTAGATTTTCCAGGCAAGTAATCTCCTTAGGTATTGGTCCCACCAAATATTTATTCCTGGAAATATTGATCCAGTGAGCTGATTCTTGCTTGCATCAAGGTAGAAGAGCTGAGACAGGTTGCCTAATGCTTCTGGTATTGATCCATTGAAGCAGTTCTGGTTGAAGTCCAGGACCTCTAGGTCCTTCAGACTGCCCATCTCTTGAGGAAGTTGTCCAGAGATGTTCTTTGATATGGTTAACTTAGCTGGACCCGCTGGTGAGGGGGTGCGGCCGGGGGTCGCTCCGGCGCGCCGCGTCGCCTGAGGGCGGGTGCACACGCGCCCGAGCCTGATGCAGGGGGCGAGGGCGAAGGGAACGGACAAAGGTCGGCCCGCGAAGGTTCGGGATGGGTCCGGTCAACGATAAAGCGGGTGAGACATCCGACCGATCCGCAATCAGACGGACCAAATCGCTTGCTTGCCTAATCCGACGGCTCGCGGCTTAGCGGGCGACGTGGCCACGCTGTCTGGCCCTCTTTTGGGTGCAGGTAAGAAGATTGATTTTCTTTCTGAAATGGACTGATTTTTACCCAGATTTTGCGAGTGCTTTTTACCCTGATTTTGCAAGTGATTTTTGCCTAGATTTATTTCTGGAGGAGAGATGGTAGTAGTAGGAAACAGAAAAAAGACATTTGAACAACATTAACAAAGTCGGTGCATATTTGTGTCACAGCGAGCTATATTAAACTTTTACGGTATTATATATACAAAAGTATCACCTCTAAACCTGTTTGGAATATAGAAATTTTATTAAAATCATGTAGAATTTTTTTAAAAATCATGCAGAAATTTCATAGAAAAAACGCAGAAACGGAAACATTTTCCCGCAATCCAAACATGCCCTTATTTTTTTCTTGCACAAATGTTCTTTGCAACTCAAAATTTACATGAAGGTGTATTTACCTATACATACTTTTGTTGTGATTGTTGTGTATTTTTGGAAGCTCAAATTTTTACATGAAGGTATATTTTTTTTATCTATACATCCATACGTCTGTTGTCATTGTTGTGTATTTTGGAAGCGTTGTTGTGGTTGCTAACATGGCGGATCTATATAGGTTGTTGCAGGTGTAGGCACATCCAGGCTCAAGCCAAAATCAACTATCGCTCTCGTTTTTCCAATATATATTTCAACTAGCAGCTATAGTTATATAGTGTTGCATCCACTTTTTTTTTTCTCTCTAGCTCCGCTCCTAGTAACACGGTCACAATAACATGGGAGATGTCTCTTAATGAAGTACCACTACAAGCACTTCTCTGGATCCTAAACATAAGCGATAACATCTAGTATTATGCTATAGCTAGTCATATCTACAAAGATATGTCATCATAAATAAAAATACTACATATTATTGGAAGCGTTCTATAGGACACGTACAATACAAGATACTTGGATATGGGTGCTTAATTAGGGGGGAAATGCTACTACACCATTAACCACTTGTAAAAAAAAACGTTAATCCTTCCAATGCAATTGGTGCTTAAATAACTTAATACATTACTAACATTCTTAAGCATCTTATCATATGCAAATGACATAGAGCAAAAATTCTTCTTTTAAAGACCCCATTGTACATGCTTATAAGGAATCTAACATTATGAACTTGACATTCTCAACCTAAATAAAGTTTTTAGATATTGACTATCAAAACTGAAAAGTTAACTTCGGATAAATCTAGACATATTTATATTTATAATTGCAAAAAAATAAAAGCAATAGTTGTCAACTTATTAACTAAATATGAACAGCCAAACAACCAAGGAAGTATGTTAAACTCAATACCTTGAGAGCCATGATTGCCTCCTCTGAGCGTAACAGCAACTCGAACTTCAGTAGTAGGATATCAGCAACGAACTTCAATAGTACTCACAATGGTGTACCACAAGAGTAGGATGGAAGAATGGTGTACCACAAGATGGTCCTGTGGTAATAAAGGGAAAAGATAGTGCATTTATCAGTGGTAAATATTTGCTAATCAAATAAGTAAGGTAATCAAAGCTCCACAATTCTACCATTACAAATCTGATGGTAAACATCACACTACAATAATCCATAACAATACAAATGAACGAAAATCAACACATCCAACATATAGGCGTATGGATCAACAAAAAGAGCAGTTTCCGCGAGGGAGATAAACACAATAAACTACCTAAACTTCGGATATGTAGACATGTAAGATAATCAAAGCTCCGCGATTTTACTGTTACAAAAGAGATAATAAACATCTGCATGTACGGTTGTCCGTTACAACACAAATGAACTGAAAAAAACCACACGTTCAGAACTCTTTCGGAACACAGGATTTTCACGGAAATCATGTAGGGATCTCACATGATTCAATTCCATTTTACAGATTCAGATAACTTTCCTACATTCCAAAAGATGCCTTGGTGAAGGCATAACTTGGATTATTCAAAGCTCTCCGAGTGAAAGAAAATGACACTATGACACTACACTACCCCATAACAATACAAATGAATGAAAATCTGCGCATCCAAAATATATAGGCATATGGATCAACAAAAAGAGCAATTTCCACAAGGGATAAGAACACAATAAACTACCTAAACCTCGGATATCTAGACATGCAAGATAATCAAGCTCCACGATTTTACCATTACAAAAGAGGTAATAAAGATCCGCATATGTGGTCGCCTGTTACAACACAAATGAGCTGGAAAAAAACCCGCACGTCCAAAACTCTTTTGGAACGTGAGATTTTCACAGAAACCACGCATGAATTTTATAGGATTCAGTTCAATTTTTACAGATTCATGAAACTTTCCTGCATTCCAAAAGAGCTTTCAGTGAAAGCATAACTTGGATTATTCAAAGCTCCCCAAGTGAAAGAAACACATCAAACCTAGCCAAAGCTCCTTCTACCGCCACAAAAGAGGTCATAAGCATCACCATATCGTAGCATATTACACTACGAATGAACAGAAAAAAAAAACACATGTCTTGGAAAAATCTTGGATCGAACAGGAGAGGTAACGTGCGTTCTTAGAAGGGTAGTAGCGTGCATGCTATGGCGCAATGGAAAAAAGAAGGAAAGAACACCGTGCAACAGATCTAGCTAGCTAGACTGCGAAACCTCCCTCCAACGGATCCGAGGTTCCAACAGAGTGGCACCTCATATATCTCTAGCTAAAAGTACTAGCTACCAATAATCAAAGCTTGATCCCTTGCATGCATCAGTAACCTCGTGCAAGTAGTTCATGTATAACGATTCATGGATGTGTGTGCTCATCGTTAGATCGCTGAGGCGTCCATTCTAGTATTTTTTTTAAAAAAAAACGTGTAGAATTGTCTCCACAGTTTTCCAACGCTCGTTCACCATGTTCATCGACCGGATTCTCACTCCAAAACGAGGAAGAGACAGCACTGTTCCTACATACGCAGTGCAACACTACTGAAAGCAAGAAGAGCAGCGTAGCAGCAATACCAGGAAATGGAGTGAGCGGCGGGAGGATGATCTCTCTGTCTCTCTTCTCTCCGTTGGCCGTCAGCCTGTCTCACCGGCGTCGGTGAAGCAGAGAGCGAGGGGAGAACGGAGCAGTGAGGAGAGCGTAGGGATTTTTTTTAGCAAAAGGAGAGCGCAGGGATCGAACTCCTGATTTTGGTGCGTATTTATATGGGCCCTCCCCTCCCCCCACCCCCACCCCATTTATCCTTTTTTTTGTTGTTGCTGGGAAATTTCGTTCGACTTTCCTTTTTTGAGAATTTCATTCGATTTTCCTGGAAATACTTTAATTTGGATAATTTCTCATGTATTTGTATTGGGACCATTTCTCCGTCTGTTTTTAGTGGGTTGTAGTTTATTCTTTCCAAAATCATTTCACTACTATAATGTTTTACTAATAGTCACAAAATCATAATCGATACAAAGTGTGTTCAATATTGCTACGAGTCTACAATGTTTTGTTAATAGTCACAAAATCATAATCATTAGAAGCGTCAAAGCACGTTTAATATTAGTACAATGTTTTATTAATAGTCACAAAAACATAATCATTAGAAAGCGCGTTTAGTATTACTACAATGTTTTATTAATAGTCACAAAATCGTAATCTTAGAACTACTCTAATACTACAAATCCAATAGTAGCAATTTTCTGGCACATAATTCACAATTTTCTTTGATATGGTCAAAGCACAATTTTCGGTGGTCAAATTGTGCCCACCAAAAAGTGGAGGGAGTGCTAATTTTTGGCAATACATTCATTATGCCATAAAAAACTGCTACTATAACTGGTGGAATTGATTGTAGTTCTTCAATATGCACCTATTATAAAAGAAAGGAAAGAGTTAATTATTTGCCTTTTTTCTCAAGACCACGAGAATAATGCAGCTCTTTGAAATTTGACTATGCTTTTCGTGATGATACCTATAGAGAGGAGCGATCATGCCAAAGATGGCCAATGGCATAGACCGGTACCATAGGCTGCATGGAGAAAAGACCGCCAATCGGTGCCACTCAACCCTAATCACGAGCGTAAGGAGGGTCAAGTAAATCAAGGCGATGATGATAATAAGAAAACTATAAGAAGGAATGAATATTTGCCTTTAGTGGGTAAATATAAAACAAGAATAATAGGTCCCCATATTTAGCATGTGGGGGCCACTAGCACTCTTTAAAAAACATGAATAAAAGAATTAAAACATTTCCCTTTTTTTAAAAATACTTTGTGGAAGAAAATATATTTTTGAAAAGTTTATCCCAAAAACCTTTTAAGAAAAAGTTTTAGCAAAACAATCATAAATTTTTTGGGCATAGTTTGAGGAATAAAAGAAAAAAAACAATATCCGGAAACATCATTGTTAGCCACCTACGGTGGTGCACTCCTGCTTACCCTTGCCATGCAGAGTACATGCTCCACTACACCGAGATCATCCAAACCAACCACTCGCCGTGCCGAGCTCTCTGTCGTAGATGCATCAAGGTCCTTCCGCATCTCGTCATTGAGATCTTGTTGTCTCCTCTGTCGAGACGAGCCTCTCCCAACCCCATCTAGCTCACAACCTTTGGTTTGGGAATGTGTAGTGCCCCACTACGCTTGCCATGCCTTCCACCTCTTCAACATAAGTTGTGCCCCAACCGGGGACGGCTACATTATATATACTTGTCACTATCTTGAACTATGTCTCCCTCTTCG